TCTCTCTCACATATACCCCCTTTTCGCTCTCTCTCACATATACCCCCTTTTCTCTCTCTCTCACATATACCCCCTTTTCTCTCTCTCTCTCTCTCACATATACCCCCTTTTCTCTTGCTCTCTCTCACATATACCCCCTTTTCTCTCTCTCTCACATATACCCCCTTTTCTCTCTCTCTCTCACATATACCCCCTTTTCTCTCTCTCTCACATATACCCCCTTTTCTCTCTCTCTCTCACATATACCCCCTTTTCTCTCGCTCTCTCTCACATATACCCCCTTTTCTCTCTCTCTCACATATACCCCCTTTTCTCTCGCTCTCTCTCACATATACCCCCTTTTCTCTCTCTCTCTCACATATACCCCCTTTTCTCTCTCTCTCACATATACCCCCATTTCTCTCTCTCTCACATATACCCCCTTTTCTCTCTCTCTCACATATACCCCCTTTTCTCTCGCTCTCTCTTACATATACCCTCTTTTCGCTCTCTCTCACATATACCCCCTTTTCACTCTCTCTCACATATACCCCCTTTTCACTCTCTCTCACATATACCCCCTTTTCACTCTCTCTCACATATACCCCCTTTTCTCTCTCTCTCACATATACCCCCATTTCTCTCTCTCTCACATATACCCCCTTTTCTCTCTCTCTCTCATATACCCCCTTTTCTCTCTCTCTCTCTCTCATATACCCCCTTTTCTCTCTCTCACATATACCCCCTTTTCTCTCTCTCTCACATATACCCCCTTTTCTCTCTCTCTCTCACATATACCCCCTTTTCTCTTGCTCTCTCTCACATATACCCCCTTTTCTCTCTCTCTCACATATACCCCCTTTTCTCTCTCTCTCTCACATATACCCCCTTTTCTCTCTCTCTCACATATACCCCCATTTCTCTCTCTCTCACATATACCCCCTTTTCTCTCTCTCTCACATATACCCCCTTTTCTCTCGCTCTCTCTCACATATACCCCCTTTTCGCTCTCTCTCACATATACCCCCTTTTCTCTCTCTCTCTCACATATACCCCCTTTTCTCTCTCTCTCACATATTCCCCCTTTTCGCTCTCTCTCACATATACCCCCTTTTCTCTCGCTCTCACATATACCCCCTTTTCTCTCGCTCTCTCTCACATATACCCTCTTTTCGCTCTCTCTCACATATACCCCCTTTTCACTCTCTCTCTCACATATACCCCCTTTTCACTCTCTCTCACATATACCCCCTTTTCACTCTCTCTCACATATACCCCCTTTTCGCTCTCTCTCTCTCACATATACCCCCTTTTCTCTCTCTCTCTCTCACATATACCCCCTTTTCTCTCTCTCTCTCTCACATATACCCCCTTTTCTCTCTCTCTCTCTCACATATACCCCCTTTTCTCTCTCTCTCACATATACCCCCTTTTCACTCTCTTTCACATATACCCCCTTTTCACTCTCTCTCACATATACCCTCTTTTCTCTCTCTCTCACATATACCCCCTTTTCTCTCTCTCTCACATATACCCCCATTTCTCTCTCTCTCACATATACCCCCTTTTCTCTCGCTCTCTCTCACATATACCCCCTTTTCTCTCTCTCTCTCTCACATATACCCCCTTTTCTCTCGCTCTCTCTCACATATACCCCCATTTCTCTCTCTCTCACATATACCCCCTTTTCACTCTCTCTCACATATACCCCCTTTTCACTCTCTCTCACATATACCCCCTTTTCTCTCTCTCTCACATATACCCCCTTTTCACTCTCTCTCACATATACCCCCTTTTCTCTCTCTCTCACATATACCCCCTTTTCACTCTCTCTCACATATACCCCCTTTTCTCTCTCTCACATATACCCCCTTTTCACTCTCTCTCACTTATACCCCCTTTTCTCTCTCTCTCACATATACCCCCATTTCGCTCTCTCTCACATATACCCCCTTTTCGCTCTCTCTCACATATACCCCCTTTTCACTCTCTCTCACATATACCCCCTTTTCACTCTCTCTCACATATACCCCCTTTTCACTCTCTCTCACATATACCTCCTTTTCTCTCTCTCTCTCACATATACCCCCTTTTCACTCTCTCTCACATATACCCCCTTTTCTCTCTCTCTCACATATACCCCCTTTTCTCTCTCTCTCTCACATATACCCCTTTTTCTCTCTCTTTCACATATACCCCCTTTTCTCTCTCTCTCTCTCTCTCACATATACCCCCTTTTCTCTCTCTCTCACATATACCCCCTTTTCTCTCTCTCTCTCACATATACCCCCTTTTCACTCTCTCTCACATATACCCCTTTTCACTCTCTCTCTCATATACCCCCTTTTCTCTCTCTCTCTCACATATACCCCCTTTTCTCTCGCTCTCTCTCACATATACCCCCTTTTCTCTCGCTCTTTCTCACATATACCCCCATTTCTCTCTCTCTCTTACATATACCCCCTTTTCGCTCTCTCTCACATATACCCCCTTTTCTCTCTCTCTCACATATACCCCCTTTTCTCTCTCTCTCTCACATATACCCCCTTTTCTCTTGCTCTCTCTCACATATACCCCCTTTTCTCTCTCTCTCACATATACCCCCTTTTCTCTCTCTCTCTCACATATACCCCCTTTTCTCTCTCTCTCACATATACCCCCTTTTCTCTCTCTCTCTCACATATACCCCCTTTTCTCTCGCTCTCTCTCACATATACCCCCTTTTCTCTCTCTCTCTCTCACATATACCCCCTTTTCTCTCTCTCTCACATATACCCCCATTTCTCTCTCTCTCTCACATATACCCCCTTTTCTCTCTCTCTCACATATACCCCCATTTCTCTCTCTCTCACATATACCCCCTTTTCTCTCTCTCTCACATATACCCCCTTTTCTCTCGCTCTCTCTCACATATACCCTCTTTTCACTCTCTCTCACATATACCCCCTTTTCACTCTCTCTCACATATACCCCCTTTTCTCTCTCTCTCACATATACCCCCATTTCTCTCTCTCTCACATATACCCCCTTTTCTCTCTCTCTCTCTCATATACCCCCTTTTCTCTCTCTCTCTCTCTCATATACCCCCTTTTCTCTCTCTCACATATACCCCCTTTTCTCTCTCTCTCACATATACCCCCTTTTCTCTCTCTCTCTCACATATACCCCCTTTTCTCTTGCTCTCTCTCACATATACCCCCTTTTCTCTCTCTCTCACATATACCCCCTTTTCTCTCTCTCTCTCTCACATATACCCCCTTTTCTCTCTCTCTCACATATACCCCCATTTCTCTCTCTCTCACATATACCCCCTTTTCTCTCTCTCTCACATATACCCCCTTTTCTCTCGCTCTCTCTCACATATACCCTCTTTTCGCTCTCTCTCACATATACCCCCTTTTCACTCTCTCTCACATATACCCCCTTTTCACTCTCTCTCACATATACCCCCTTTTCACTCTCTCTCACATATACCCCCTTTTCGCTCTCTCTCACATATACCCCCATTTCTCTCTCTCTCACATATATACCCTTTTCTCTCTCTCTCTCATATACCCCTTTTCTCTCTCTCTCTCTCATATACCCCCTTTTCTCTCTCTCACATATACCCCCTTTTCTCTCTCTCTCTCACATATACCCCCTTTTCTCTCTCTCTCTCACAATCATATACCCCCTTTTCACTCTCTCTCACATATACCTCCTTTTCTCTCTCTCTCACATATACCCCCTTTTCACTCTCTCTCACATATACCCCCTTTTCACTCTCTCTCACATATACCCCCTTTTCACTCTCTCTCACATATACCCCCTTTTCACTCTCTCTCACATATACCCCCTTTTCGCTCTCTCTCACATATACCCCCATTTTTCTCTCTCTCACATATACCCCCTTTTCTCTCTCTCTCTCATATACCCCCTTTTCTCTCTCTCTCTCTCATATACCCCCTTTTCTCTCTCTCACATATACCCCCTTTTCTCTCTCTCTCTCACATATACCCCCTTTTCTCTCTCTCTCCCACATATACCCCCTTTTCTCTTGCTCTCTCTCACATATACCCCCTTTTCTCTCTCTCTCACATATACCCCCTTTTCTCTCTCTCTCTCACATATACCCCCTTTTCTCTCGCTCTCTCTCACATATACCCCCTTTTCTCTCTCTCTCACATATACCCCCTTTTCTCTCGCTCTCTCTCACATATACCCCCTTTTCTCTCTCTCTCTCACATATACCCCCTTTTCTCTCTCTCTCACATATACCCCCATTTCTCTCTCTCTCACATATACCCCCTTTTCACTCTCTCTCACATATACCCCCTTTTCTCTCTCTCTCACATATACCCCCTTTTCTCTCGCTCTCTCTCACATATACCCCCTTTTCTCTCTCTCTCTCACATATACCCCCTTTTCTCTCTCTCTCACATATACCCCCATTTCTCTCTCTCTCACATATACCCTCTTTTCGCTCTCTCTCACATATACCCCCTTTTCACTCTCTCTCACATATACCCCTTTTCACTCTCTCTCACATATACCCCCTTTTCACTCTCTCTCACATATACCCCCTTTTCTCTCTCTCTCACATATACCCCCATTTCTCTCTCTCTCACATATACCCCTTTTCTCTCTCTCTCTCATATACCCCCTTTTCTCTCTCTCTCTCTCATATACCCCCTTTTCTCTCTCTCTCACATATACCCCCTTTTCTCTCTCTCTCACATATTCCCCCTTTTCTCTCTCTCTCACATATACCCCCTTTTCTCTCTCTCTCACATATACCCCCTTTTTGCTCTCTCTCAAATATACCCCCTTTTTGCGCTCTCTCACATTATATCCCCTTTTCGCTCTTTCGTTTCGCACATCCCTCCCCCGAAACAAATTTAATTTATCTCTCTTCCTGTCTCTCTCTCTCTCTCTCTCTATCTATCTCTTGTTTCACACATACCCCCCCCCCCCCCCACAATAAAAAATAAGTACAAAAACAACTCTCTTTCTCACTTTAACCCCTTTCTCTCTCTCCTTTTCTTCCTCTTTCCTTGTGCAACTTTCTTCCTTACCCAGCCTAGATACCTTTTCTTCAATGAAAAGTTCAGTACAACCATACACCGACAGGGGCAATAAAACATCACTTTAAGAAACCTTTATATCATAGATTCGTAAATCAGCAATATATTCAAACTGCTATAATATATGCACATAACAATAAAAAAAGCAGATCCCGATATACAGAGCAATAAATCAATCAATATCAAGTACTAGTCAAGCGTTTCTGATAAAAATGTCCGACTTTTACAAACTTGATAAACATTAGTCTATATACATGTGCGTTTCAAACAAAGTTTTCATCAATGGCACCAAGCTATAGAAAGGGAGAGAGAGAGTATATGCCAATGGTTACATCAATCAATAAATCTCAACAATTACTCGAGCGTTTCTGACAAAAATGTGTTACATTTAAAGACTTGATAATATCATTAATCTATACATGTGTTTTCAATGGCACCAAGCTATAGAAAGGGAGAGAGAGAGAGAGTATATGCTAATGAATACCCTAAATCAACCAATCTATCAAGTACTCAACAAGCGTTTCTGATAAAAATGTTCGACGTTAACGACTTGGAAAACCATTTATCTATACATGCGTTTCAAACAAAGTTTTCCTCAATGGCACCAAGCTCTAGAAAGGGAGAGAGAGAGCCTGGCTCTGTCGGTGTCAGCTTAAGTACAGAGCCTATGCAGTATGAAGTAAGCCTAGTCTCACAGTGCAGACACTGTTACGCACAGCGACGGACGAGGGGTTGGGCCTGCAAGCAAGGTGAGCCCTGCTATAAACAGCTCGTATATTGTTAATCTCCATCTATTAATAACCATGTTTGCACTCGCCTCAAAACTACTTGTTGCCAGTTCAAATGGAAGTGGTTCAAGATAGTATCCCTTTAAACGAGCACATTCTACAAAACAAATTTGTTTTTTAACATGAAAACAAACAAATTTTAATAGGTACTGGTAGCTGTTAATAGCAAAATGTAGTGGCAAGAAAAAAAGAAATGTCAGGAATGCAGAAGGATACGGTAATAGTTTGAGATGTCTGTTATTTAATGAGGGACTGCACTACTAGGCCCTCTACATAGCAAACAATGCCGAAGCAGTACCTGTTGGTCCCCCATGATCCCCTTTCTCTTACGTTAATTGAGAGCTGATTTGATGAGATAACCACGTATCAGTGACCATGCAGGGAGGTTTAATCCCTCCTAGCCAAACTGGTGCAGACAGGCTTTAAAAGTTGCTTTTTGGGGGACGTCGTATCTGAATGAAAGTTAAAGAAACTTTAACCCTGATCACGATAGTACTTGTATCAATACCAGCTCCATTTCCTAATTTTTTGTTTCTCCCTCTGTGTGACAAACCAATGATTTTCAACCAATTACGCATTCTTGCGATGGACTTGCTTTTTGTGTTGCTACATTTCGCTATTAAAGCTACCTAAATGAAAGAAACAAATAGACAATACAAAAGATTTCAATACATGTAAATTCTGACCATTAGTCAATCTTTTGCAACAACCCACAGAACTAACAAGAAAATACACAAAATCTAAATATGTTACACTTAGTATCATCAACTTGTTACCGTTTTTGTATAAATATACAAGACAACAATGAATGTATATTGTGTACATGTCATGTATTTAAGTCATTGCATATAAAGTGTGTGATTTAAACAAAAAGTCTCATCAGGAAAATAACCCAAAACAAAGAGAGAAAAAAAACAAGGATCCAAAACTAACTATCAAACAAACAATATTAAAGGATAGTATTGGCAAATATTTCAAGAGTGTTGACAAAATTAAACATGAAATGTCTCAAAATCTTCCAGTGATGCGGCTAACAGAATTACCAACTACACTAATAGATGGCAAGTAAAACTCTCCCTTTTTTACAGTAAATATACAATCATGTAGTTGTAAAGTTGTTCATTGAATATTGAATCTTTGGTACATTAATACATCAAACATGACATCGCGAAATGTCAAACAATACATGCATATGTACAAGATTCACCACATGTGGTGTTTCCTATGTTTATTGATTGATGATAGTGATGATAATGAGATTGATCATGACGACAACGATGATGACAATGATGATCATGAGGATGATGATGATGAAGAAGATGACAATTGTGTTGATGGTGACGATGATGATGATGATGATGACGTTGATGATGATGATGTTGAAGAAGATGACTACGTTGGCAACGAAGATGATGACGATGATGATTGTGATGATGATGACGATGAAGATGATGGTGATGATGATTGTGATGATGATGATGATGATGATGATGATTGTGATGACGATGATTGTGATGATGATGACGATGAAGATAATGGTGATGATGATTGTGATGATGATGATGCTAGTGATGACGATGATGATGATGATGAAAACAATCACATCGATATGATGATCAATATAACAGTCATAATGATGGCGGCGGCATTGATAATGATCAATAATATCAGAGGTTTTGTTAATGTAATCGGATAGAGACATACATGCACTAGCACCATGCATTCATCAGTTGTTCAGTTTTCAACTGAAGCCGAAAACTTCCAGTCAGTTAATACAATACTTATGCAATTAAGTACATCTGATTGCCCAAGCATACATGTTTAATACAACCCAAACAAATACTCTGGCTACCGGTATACATACAGTTGACAACTAAATTATTTGTACTTCTTGTAAATTTGATATGTTTTTGTGTTTTTCGTATATATATATATATATTTAAGACTGAAAGTTAGATGTTAGCTGTACATATATACTGTATGTTCATCCATGTACATGTATTACCATGTGATATTGACGTTAGTGTTCTAAAATTCAATATGAGCAGATTTGCGACCCGGCCTTGTACTAAATTCCTTCCTTCACACTTTATCAGTTTCCCGACTGTCGCTAAATAATAATAATAATAATAATATTTAATTTTTATATAGCGCTTAATACAAATGTCTCTAAAGCTTTACAAATATACTATTACCCCGGTCATTGGATTCAGTGCTTGCCCGCACACAACGTGTGCACAATCTCCACTCCCTGGGGAGCATTCCAGCCAGGCATTTCTACAATGTACCGTACACTTTACACCAAATTTTCACCAAAGTTTTAACATAGAATTTTAAATCGTACCTTGAAAACAGACCCAACTAATCAGGACCTGCCTATAAGGACCAAACTTTTTGTTTCCCACTAGCAGTGTTTTAACATTATTACACGTGTATGTACAGTATTAAAAGAAGCTATGCGTACAGATAAAGACCACCTGTCTATAAAGATCATGTTTTTCGTTTCCCCAATGCCATGTATTTCATTGCAACATGTATTAAATGAACCTGTACATAAAGACCACCTATATATTGCCATTTTTCTTGTCTCCCTTGCATCAACTGAGTGGTCTTTATAGACAGGTTCCATGAGGTAAGGACTGCTTTCTTTTCTCCCTGGAGTGGCCTTAATACACAGGTTTCATTGTATCAAGAAACATTGTATTAAGATGAACAAAACGAGTCTAGAATACACTCAACAGTGGCCTGTATTTACTGTGAAGCACAATAAACATAAGGGATTGGAATGAATGGAGAGAATGCATCTGGGGGGTGTTTCACAAATCTGGTCATCAGTGACAAATGACAGTTTTTGTTATAAGCTACTGAAATCCTTGCTTTTGATTGGTTATTAGCAGATTTGTCACTGATTTTTATCATTTGTCAATGAAAAAAGGCTTTGTGAAACGGATCCCTGATTGTAAATCATATTTACATCGATCCACACCACATTACAACAAAATACAAGAACAAAAAGAAGAACAGACAGCATTTGAAACACTTGATATGGCCATAAGTCACAAAGGAGGTCGATACTTAAACCCATAGTTTGAACCTCAATATAAAGCGTAGTATTAAAGTGCACGTCCTCATTTCCAATGGAAAGACCACACACCGATATGAATTTTATTTAAAGACCATGGTTTAAAGCCATAGTGCACGACCGCCAAATGCCCTCTGCCGCCATCTCGAGTTAGCTGTGGCAGTATGGTCCCGTTACTCGCTGCTTCCCTAGATGTGCTGTTCGTTCTTGCATCGAGTCCTCCGTCTGCAAAGTGGAAATTAGGTACTTGGTTTATACGCACTGTTGGCAAGTTGACCTTGAGATGGCGCTTTGCAAACTTCATCAGTTCAGTATCGCTTTAAATCTCTTACTCCTTCGTGAACTCGGGCCAATTATAAAATTCAACAACACAATAAACAACAATGTTCCAGTACGATACAAAATTTAGATACTGATTAAATAGTTGCAGTCCTGATTATAAAACCAATGACTCTCAATAAATATTCTTTCCCACCTATCTACACGTACACGTTTATAGCAATCAATGATTACCCTCATATATTTCAGCTCATACCTTTTAATACGCACTGACAATGAACAAGAACGCTTCAGGAAATATAGTCTGAAAGTTCACAGAGATAAGTTTTGTCCAATCAGAAGAGAAAAGTATTCCAAAGCTTTGGTCAGACACGGAACGGTAAAAAGCCTCAAAGAAACTGCTGCAGCAAAATAAAAACCATCTCATTAGTAATTGATAGGTTAAGGCTCGTTCAGATATGGTGCTGTAAACGCCCCCAAAACGCTGCCATTTTTCGTGTACGTGTAAATGAACGATAACTGCGTGCAACAAAGGTTTTTCACTTGGCTCTGCATTACAAGATACAGAAATGGGAAGTGTATCGCACTTGAGGTACACTGCAACTTAACAAAAATCTGCCACTGTTTTGCATCATCATATCTGAACCAACCTTTAAAGGGATCGTTTAACAATGTTAAATCTGAGATGCACGGCCCTACGTGTTATCAGTGTCTGTGATATGGTGTTATATTGAAGCCCTAACAAACATTGCGCTTCAAAATGATCAAGAAATGCCTCAATTTTTTTAAAAACCTTTGAGACAGGTTTTACCATACTCGTTTTCCCCAATAGACTGTAGTATTATGAAAACCGTTTGGCAAACTCAAAATTTGATTTCGATTTTCAATCAAAGATATCTTGATGATCAGACAGGCATTCGGCTTGTAAAAGTCATGGGGTTCCTAACTGACCTAAAGGTTTATAATTATCATTGCAGCATGAGCTGAATCAAGGATTTTTTAAAAGGATCTAAGACAGAGTTACCGGATCCCTTTAACAGGCCTATCGCTTATCTAAGCTCTTTTTATGACTCATGACAGAACACTCTAAAGAATCCTCGTCAACATGTTCACAAAGGGTCAGTCATAACTTATAGGACCACCACCACGACAACGACAAGTAAATGAATGGCTAGTTGGATTGAAAAAGTGTCGCGCTGCATACAATGAAGGCCCTGCATTCTCTGTATGTTTCTCATTTAGCTGCAGCACTGTTTTTCAAAAATGTAGATGGTATATTGCACTTTAGTCCAGCCACAATTGCTCCATGCCATTTCCTATACTGACCAAATTCTTAACACTGACCAAGTTCTTAACTTCATCTCTGGACAAAACACGATACCTAATGCCATGTAACACTAAACATAACCCTAACGGTTAACCCTATGCTTTTGATGAAATAAAGGCCAGAGCATTTGTCACAGGACACTTGGTCCTGGGGCAATCGCTCCGTGTCAATTTCTTACACTGATCATACTCTGAAATTTATGAACCCTGGATGCAGCACTATACCTAACCATGACCCTAAACCAAACCTAAAACCCAAGTGCAATCCTAAGCCTAACTCTAAACCTTTAAAGAAATAAACCTGGAGCAATTGTCACAGGAGCAAATGTGAGGTCATCGGTTTACCATGTCGAGTGTGGTCTGAGAAGGGAATAAGTACGGCTGCCTGAGTTAAATATACACATCACGTCTAATTGAGTTCATACACTAGAAAACATTCTCATAGAGAACCAAGCTTAAATAAATCTCTACCTACAGAGTATTGAACGAGCTCATACCGCCGGATCAAATTTTAATTTCCCTTTATCCAGTCCACTTAATAGAGATTCTACATTGAACATTTTGAACATCAAAGCGTCGTGCGACGTGACGTTCCCCGCTTCAAATAAAACGGCAAAATTTTGCGACCTGAGTCCCGTGACCGGGTTTCGCATCTCAAAGTACGTTAAGTCGGAATATCCGGAGAAATTCGAGAAGATGTTCCACGGGGGACTCCACGACTTGCAGCCGTCTTTGCTGAGGCGTACAGAGAGGCGCTCGCGGAACTTGGGCGAGGCGGGGTTAGAGAAGAGCACCCACGTGTTGGAGTCGGTGACGTAGGGTCGGGGTGCTGGGAACCCTATCATGCTGGCCTGGGATAGGAGAGGAAAGAAAAGAAATGATTGACAATTAACATTTGTTTCTAGGCGCTGTACATATTATTACCCCGGTCATCAGATTCGGGCTTACCCTTACACAATGTATGCACATTCTCCACTCCCTGGGTAGCATTCCAGCCAATCGCCATTTTACACGCGCCACTTGCTCATCCAACCACATTAAATTTTGCATCCTACCAATTAAGTGATGAAAGAACCATAGGGGCTTACTTATTTTTTACAATTTAAAGCCTGTCTGCACTAGTTTGGCCTGGAGGGATTTGACCTCCCTCCGTGGTCACTGGCAGGTGGTTATCTCATCAAATCAGCTCTCAATTAACGTAAGACAAAGGGGATAATGGCAGACCAACAGGCACCACTTAGGCATTGTTTGCTAGATGGAGGGCGGAAATAGTGCAGTTCCGCTTTTTTAAGAAACAAATGGATCCAAATTTTAACTTTCTACAAGGTTATTCTACTTCCCTTCATGGCAGCTTTCTGGGAAATATCAATGCCACTTTATTCAAAGACAATACGCGTACCTGGCAGCCACCAGCCTTTGATGGGATGACAAAGTTATCATCGGTGAGCTTGTATCCCGGTTCCACGAGCTCCCTGGCTAGACGCCCCGCCCCGAAGGTCTCACCCCCGTTGTCGCTGAAAGAGACGACCCGCGTCAAGTCAGCATGAAGGGTTCTGCCATTTAAACATACCTGTCCCTTGTCTATTTCTACTGCCTGTGAAAGGAAAGCAGCGCCAAGAAGAAACAAGAGATTGTTTAATAGTGAAATGTTGACCCAAAAATAGATATCAGATGGACAAATATTTAATAATGCAATTGAAAAATCAATCGCTAATGCTATATATTTCAGCATAAGATTTGTTTTACCTTTTTTTCTTCTCTTGCTAATTTTAATCCATTCCCAACATCACCCCCCCCCCCAACGTTTAATCTTGCGCTCCCTCTCACTCTCTCTCTCTCTTTAAATTATCTATATTCCTCTTTTCTTCCATTTCTTCCATTCAGTGATTAAACTGTCTCCCTTTCGTTTCGCCCTACACTCCCTCTAAGTGTGTATTTTTCTCTGACTCATTTCCACTCCCTCTCCCTCTCTAAAATGTATGTCACTCTCTCTCTTTCTGTCTTTCTCCCCTCCTTGTCTTTCTCTTTCTCTCCCCCTCCCTCCCTCCCTCCCTCCCTCCCTCCCCCTCCCTCTGTTTCCCTCCTTCCCTCTTCGATACTCACTGTAGCTTCATTCCCATGTATGGGCCTCCAGAAGGGGTCCACCCCGAAGGGTATCCTGCCCCCTAAGAACCATGCGACTCTCCCTCCCTCCCTCCCTCCCTCCCTCCCTCCCTCCCTCCCTCCATCTACCTCCCTCCCTCTCTTTGTCTCCCTCCTTCCCTCTTTGATACTCACTGTAGCTTCATTCCCATGTATAGGCCTCCAGAAGGGGTCCACCCCGAAGGGTATCCTGCCCCCTAAGAACCATGTGACTCTCTCTCATTGTCCCTCCCTCCTCCCTCTCCCTCCCTCGCTCCCTCTCTCCCTCCCTCCCCCTCCCTCTGTCTCCCTCCCTCCCTCTTTGATACTCACTGTAGCTTCATTCCCATGTATGGGCCTCCAGAAGGGGTCCACCCCGAAGGGTATCCTGCCCCCTAAGAACCACGTCTCTCCGTTGTCATCGCTAGCGATCACATTGGCATAGTTGGTGGTGTTGTGAAAATTATCTAGATAATCTGGAAAAAACAAAAAAATAAAATATCAATATACCCAGTTATCAACAGCAATAACACATAACTATCAATGACAAATCAACATGCCCAACGATCATAAAACACAGAAACAGATTATGGAAATAAAATTATAACATTATTCTAGATTTCTTTGGATAACTTTGCAATTAGAAAGTGAAAAAGAAAAAATATCCTTCTTCTCCTTTTCGTTGTTTCACCTTGAATGTTTTTTTTCAAATGACTATGTACATTTCAGGACATGAAATAACATGAGAGTAATTTTAATAGTTTCATACTATTAATTAAATGTATTGTTAACTGTAACTGTATAATTGTTTTTAATGGGGGCACGCTACAAGAGTCCTATCTCGCACCCCGGGGCAACGTGTCTGACACGGCCGGTTGTAGCAACTACTCCGAAGATCAAGATTACAGTAATCTTGATCTAAGGAGACTCGAACGAACGAGGACATGAAATTAACTAAGAACAAAAAGAAAAGGGGGAGCATAATATATGAGAGCAGGGAACAAGTCCCATTTAGCTTTGCATACCTATCAAAGAGCTACGATAACCATTCTAAAAACAGTAAAATATAGCTGTAAGATAATTAATTATAGGATTAAATCAAATTAAATCATCCATAGGCATACAACAACAAAAAAATCCATACATATACAATAAACCTATCAGCTAGGTCTGATAACAAATTTAAAAGCAGTAAAATATATAAAAATTGCTGTATGGAATTTATTTCAGAATCAAATCGAATAAGATCTATCCATACAAACAAAAATCCATGCACATGTATATATTTCCACTGGTCCTGAAATTGCAATTTCTAAAATTGAATACTAATAGCTGCCTTTAAAGTAAAAAAGGTATACTGTGGCATCACCTTACATGTACACTGTCGCCCCTAAAGTTGGAATGTGTTTCTAACCTCTTTAAATGAAGTGATTGTGAGAATGTGCTTTATTCATGATAGATGAAGTTTATATCTTTTCAGAGCTTTACCAACCAATGTAAAGAGGCTAAAAGCAATCGATCAGTAAAGTTCTGTGAAGATATACCCTAAAGTACAAAGAGTAAATCATATTCTCACAATTGTTTCATGACAAAGAGGTAAGAAAATTCAATCCAACTTTATAGCCCACTTGAGGACAATTTTTCATTTTTATTTGATGTACTTCCATTTACAGATACTTTTCATTACATAGGTCTTCCCTGTGTTCAAGCTTGACTTACGTAATAAGGGTCCAACCTCATCTTTCACAAAATAATTTCCAGCCACTAAAAGCCTTCCTGATTTCAGCTGAATACCATGTCCTGGTCCTAATGGAGAAAGAAAATGCAAATATGTGTTATTTATATGAGGCTTCCAAGTGGTACAATAAATCAGTGTATTCAATATCTTTAGCGCAGTACCTGGATGACTGACCAATATTGTTTTTGTATTGCTCAGTCATCCAGGAACTTGAACTATCAATATCATGGCGATATCACACGAAAATAAAGCCATATTTACCAAGGTAAGTCACATTTTGTTATTTCCCTAGTCAGACTAATATAGATAATAATAATAATATAGTATGGCTTTGTTTTCGTGTGATACAAGAAAATATTGTCATAGCTCGAGTAATACATTCTTGTATTTAACTCAAAGCCATCCAATATTATAGTATTTGGGTAATTTGTTCCTAGTCTTCCTGCATTCCATCTCTCCCCATTAATCTGGTCATCCCTCTCTCTCTCTGTCTCTCTCCCCTCCCTCTCTCTCCCTCTCTCTCTCTCTCTCTCTCTCTCCCTCCCTCCCTCCCTCTCTCTCCCTCTCTCTCTCCCTCCCTCTCTCTCTCTCCCTTTCTCTCTCTCTCCCTCCCCCTCTCTCTCTCTCTCCCTCTCTCTCTCTCTCCCTCCCTCTCTCTCTCTCCCTCCCTCTTACCCATTTACTCTTTCTCTGTCTCTTTCTCTCTCACTTCTTCTCTTCTTATATTCTTTCTACACCAGTGAGTTTTTTGCTTTATGTTAGTCTTCCAGATGTTATCCACAAAAAAGAAGTCTTCATATTTTTGGTTGTCTCTGTCCCTCACCATCTTGGAGTTTCAATCTCTCTTTTTCTGTCTCTTTGTCTCTCTCCTTGCACTACCTTATCCCAAAATAAAAACATATTTAACATCTCTGTCTCTCTCCTTGCGCTACCTTATCCCACAATAAAAACATATTTAACATCTCTGTCTCTATCCATCTCTGTCTATCTCTTTCTCTCTCTCTCTCTCTCAGCATCTCGCTGCATCTCCCTTCCTTTCTGCTTCTCTCTGCCTCTCCCTTTACCCTGCTATTGCAGTCTTTATACAGTACTTTTTTCACACTCACTTCATCTATTTCTTCTTCTCCTACTTTCTCTTTACCCGTTTCCCTCTTTGTTTATCCCTCTCAGTCTCTCTTGTCATTTCCCTTTTCTCTCTCTGTCTTTCTTTTTATCTCTCTTTCTCTCTCTATATATATATTTCTATCTCCTCTCTCTCTAGTTTATCTTTATCTCTCTCTCTCTCTCTCTCTCTCTCTCTCTCTCTCTATGTCTCTCTCTCTCTCTCTCTCTCTCTCTCCCTTCCTCCCTCTCTCTCTCTCTGTCTACTGCTCACCTGGTGCATAGAGAGCAGGGGGAGGTCTCATTTGTCCCAGTGTTGAAGCAGTGATATCTTTGGCTATCGTCCACGTCTCTCCATTATCAAAACTCTGCAAAAAGAAAATGAAATTAATAAGAAGAAAAAGCAAGTCACCAAACTATAAGATTGGTTGGTTTACTCAACTGTTATTAGAAAGCAAGAAAGCATGCAACGAAGTCTGTATATGGTGGTTTCATGGTGAGATCTAAAGGCAATGGGCTACAGACCACAAGGTACAGGGATCAAATCTCTGCCATGGCACCAGCATCATTCTCAACTCTCAACCCACATGTAATAAATGAGTTCCTACTCTTGGGTGAAAGAAAATCCTTGGCAGCATGAAATTAATACATCGTATCAAGGGAGATTGCTTATGGCTAAAATGTAGGTTACAGAAAAACTTTTTTTTTTAAATAAATTGAAATCCAACTTTTGGGGGTAATTACAGGGCTCCACAGAGAGAGATAGAGAGAGAAAGAAAGGGAGAGAAAGAGAGGTAAAGATAAAATAGATTGGGGGATATGATTAGAGAGAGAGAGAGAGAGAGAGAGAGAGATGGAAAGCTCTTTTCCCAGGGGTTTGGTCTGATATTTTCAGAGTCTAAATGGAAGAATTTTTTTTTTACAAATTTCTTTGGGTTAGAAGTTGAAACTTGGGGCCCCATTTGTAAGTGACCCCTAATAACTGAACATAATAACCATGAGACACCATCTCAGACCACTTTCCATTAAAACCCTGGCAGGAATCAATGATAACACAACATTTAGCTCTAGCTTTATTTCATCACAGATATAGAATGAGACGAGGAGGTGCAAATTTTGTTCTGGGTTAGGTTTAGGGCGGGAGTTAGGACTAGATATTGTGATGGGAAGCTGTTTGAATTTATGAATTTGATTAAAGTAATAAATGGACCACGGAGTGATTGATGTAAGAGTATCTGCCATAAGACCTTTATCCACTCTGCGGCGTTTCACAAAGATCCTAAGTTGGACTTAAACATTATGGAGAGCCATTTGAAGCCTTAAAATAAAACACATTAAAAAGCACATATTGAAGTACTAAATACTTTTCATAAATTTCACATCAATAACATGAAATCTCCTTGATAATAGAAAATATGAATGATTTGATTCAACTTTTTACGCCTTAAAAAAAAAACTTTTACAAATTATTTTCAAAGATGCTAACGGCTTTCCATAATTGTTGAGTCCAACTTGGAGATAACTTAAACCCTATGGATATTTGTGATTACAGGGAAAAAATACACGGGGGCTCTGGGCAAATTAGCCCCCGAAATGCCCAAAAGAGCCCCCAAAAGTCATAAAAGAGCCAAACAAAATTTGCATAAAATTCAATGCAAAACAAATTAAAGAGTGTTATTTTGATGCAAGCAAGCTTGAAAAGTAGCCCCTCAAATTGTTTAAATATTTTTTTAGCTCACCCTAGAAACCATGAGGTATTGGTTGTAGACGCCATCTCGGACCAGCTTCCATTGGCTGACCCAGGCGGGGATCAGCTGGTACACCAGCAGAATCACGTCTAGGACTTTGTCCACGATCGGCACTGGGTTCATGGCCCTGTCAAAAGGGAAACAGTAGCAAGGAAACGATTGAAAGGAAACTGAGGAATCTAGAGGTCGCTAGAGGTCACCATGTTGGAGGATACAAACGAAGTGGGATTTGCGTAAAGGTCATGGACACATTTGTCCTAGTGTGTGCATTTTCTTACAATGTTTTAAATAGTATTTAACACTTTACACTTCTCATCATTAATACAAATAGGGATCATAGACAAAATTTATTTCATAATTTTGCCATTTTAAGCAGTCTGGTAAATTTTACCTCGTGCAACCAGGGAGAAGGGAAGCAAAAATTGGGGCTTTATATACATTAAAAAAATATTTTAAGTGATTACCGCAAATATGCATGTACCAGTAATTACCATTAAAGTTATTTGTACATAACATTTTAAAAATTATTCAAAGTTTTAATATATGGTGATTACAAATGTTTTATCAAACGAATATCTACCTGGCTATAGTTGCATTCATCAAATAGGCAACAAATATAACCTCGTTCGGTGCATTTTCCTCTCTCCCTTTACAGACATGAAATGCTTATATATGACATCATTAACTAAATCATTATTAGGCTGTGCATTTATAATGTCTCGAAATCATCAATGACAACAAAATTCATTCTTATTTTACCTGTAACCATGCCGCGATGCAACGACCTGTAACTGCCCCCATTCGACTTTCCAATCTGTTCTCTTCCCTCTCCGTAAGACGATGTGGATATTACCGATGTCGTGGCTCGTGTCTTTACGGGCCTCGCAGAATGCGAGGAACATGTTTTTGTGGTGGACAATGGCAGGTATTCTGAACGTGTTTGGAAACGCAAGAAAAATGTGAGATGTTTAAATTGTTTAGTGTCAAATTCTTTGACAGAGACAAGACAGTAATAATTATATTCTGGGTGTAGTATCTAACTATAGCACTTAACATATCAACAATGTCTAAGTGCTTTACAGATAATTACTCCAGTCATCAGATTCAGGCTTGCACAAACTCATTGTATGCACATTCTCCACTCCCTGGGGACCATTCCAGCCACCTTGGATTTTAAAGACACTCTCTTTTGGCAAAATATCAGCGTGTTTCTATTAGTTATACTGAATTTATCCGGTTAAAGACAATAGCGTATAATGCCAGGGAAGGGCAGTTTCTATCTAAGCGCATTATCCAATTACACGGGTTAAAAGGCCATGAATAAAAGTTCATCGAACTCTGGCTAAGGTCACTGCAATGTATTGTGGGACTGCTAGGTCAACCTGAGATTGTAGTGTCGCGCGCGTCGGGGTAAAATATTCTGATCATGTGATCACTCCTATTTCCGGTTTCTCTCCGCTATGTGCACTCAACCGGAATGGGGTTAGCTTCTACTTACATTATCCAGTTATCTTCCCCTGCATTATCCTTTTAAAAGAAGGATGATTTTGCCGGTCAACGCGTCACAACTCTCACTGCCATTATCTGGATAATGGCGGAGAAAGTCAGTTTCTATAAGAAAAAATGTATCCCTAATCAGCCATTAACCAGATAATGGCTTCTAATAGAAACACGCTGAATGACAGGTTTTCTATACGTGTTTGGAAACACAAGGAAACGTGAGATATTTCAATTGTTTAGCATCAAATTCTTTGTCGCAGACGAGAAGCAATAAAGTAGAGAACACGCACTTGCCAGAGTGGAATCGCAAATGCATCCTAGGACTCTAAAAACCTTTGATTAATTACAAATACAGTACAGGGACATGTACCTTTAATTGCAAAAGTTCTGAATAAAACTAAATATTATTACTATTTGTGATATTCCTTCTTTCAGGTAATATGTACACTAAAATGTGTTGTGAGACCTGGCGATAGAAACAGCCTGTAGTCATTTTGCTTTTGTCCTTTCAGTGCTCTGTTTTTCTATGATCTCTTTCTTTTTTCTTTTCATTCCATATGCTAAAAATTGGGGAAAACAAATTAGCACAATAAACAGACCAAATCAAACATTTTTCATAGAAAATATGTAGTAAGGGCTGGATAATGGCAATGGTTTTACGATGAATTGAAGATGATTCTCATTTTCTCTACCAACCCTGATCTCGCTGTGATATGTATTCGTTCTTTTTCATGCCCAATTAGGGTGCCAACCAAAGACAGATGGAGCACAAAAGCCACGCTACAAAAGATCCTTAACCCATCGACCACCGAATACTGTCATTCCCAATAGCCTTTGTACAGGAGTACCAGGTTCCAGAAGGCAGTGGGTTCCAATTTCATTATATTTACACAACCTGGAATAAATAGGATTATCTATTTTATTCATGAAGTGTAAATAAACGACAAAGAAATCTGAACTAACAGGGCATGCTCATGATGGGAAGAAAAGAAGTTCACATTCATTCAACTCAATGAATAAACAATACAAACATGTACCATATATTCCTTCTTATTTCAAGAAAACTCATGGAATATATCTTTTTTTTAAACATCACTTTATTGTTCAAACTTGCACAACAAAGGAGAAGATACAATAGCAGAAGGCAATGTGCTCAATTTGTCATTGTCATATTTACACAACCTGGAATAAATATGATTGTTTATTAATGCAGTGTAAATAAACCCCATAGAAATCTGAACTAACAGGGCATGCTCACGATGGGAAGAAAAGACGTTCACATTCATTCAATTCAATGAATAAACAATACAAACATGTACCATATATTCCTTCTTATTTCAAGTAAACTCATGGAATATGTGTTTTGCTGAATTATTCAACAAATTACATGTATGAAACATGCATTTCTTCAAAAAAAGAAATGCCACTTGAGGGAAATATGGAAGTGTTGTTCCTTGCAAAATCTGATGAATAAATGCGCTTACCTTGATGTGTTATATTTTCCCATTCCAGACTTGAATATGACTGTACAGATATAAAAAGAATTTAAACAAATGTTTAAAAAAAAAAAAATTAAGTTTGAAAATCAACAACAGACAAATAATGAAAATGTAAAGTACACATAGATTTTATTGTTAAAATCATAATGATATTTAAAACTAAAAGGAAAGACTAGGTGTAACATTGTATATCTATATTAGGAAACACTTTCCACTATTCATCTTACAATTGTACAACAAAAGAACTGTCATGAATAGGATTATATTCACGTCATAAATATTATAGACAGCTGGATTATTTCCAATTGCTTCTTTTCATTCAGAATTCACAATGTTTTGTGTTTTTTTAAGGAGTTGATTTTGTCGAGTCAAAAGTCAGATAAGAGTCTGACCTTGCAGACTACATGGATTTTCAAGGACTTGAAACTAAAGACACATTTTGTTGACTTAGCACTTTCCATGACACTTTGTACATTGCACTTAAAATATCATCGAGAGGTAATCCAAAACATTGCGCAGCATTAGCAAACATTCAAAATCATAATTAGCACATGAGCATTTGTAGCTTCATTCCCTCTGATTTTGATAAAGCGTAAGCTAAACATAAACTTTGCTTCATAAAGACCCATCACCTCAATTCATAACAACAACATTTTATTGTCTACGTGTACACTATGTTTGATATTGATTCATATTTCAATTGAAACTGTACAGTAGGTACATGTACATGTAGTATGTATATGGATGTGGAATATCAAATTCGTTACAATAATAATTTTCTGAGATCACGCACAATGTGATATAATGTCTTTATCTGATTCAAAAGGACTTTGGATATTATTACTTAAGAGTCGATTAGCTCAGGCAACCATAGCCTAGGACATCAGGAAATAGACCATTTTCGTAATGTAATAACATTTAATGCACAAATCATTACTATCTTTGTTATGTATTCATTGTTGCTAGGTAGAACAAGCATTATGACTTGTCCTACCTAATATTATGTTAGTACATGTATAAACAATACATAAGATTGGTGCATCAAATGTGAGTTAAAGATAAACTTGAGTTCTGGTAAAAAAAGAAAACAAATTCTCACAGAATCTAACAAAACTTACACTGAATGTTCAAGATTACAAATAAATGTCACGTGCCAAACAATCTTGGAAGAAAATGTATACTGGCTGAGTAATGAGCATAGAAAGATAAGGAAATCAGGGTAGTACTAGCCCCGACACCATGTGTGTTGTCCCATATACATCTTTCTGTGTAAGTGATTGTTACTTTACCAAGACTCTGCCAAATTTATGATGATTTTGATCACTCCAGAACCTTGCATTACACACCATTACTTACATGCTATATGATCAACTTTTCTGATCCATTCCACACCTTTTCTTTCACAATGCAATCGCATTACCAGAACTCAAGTTTATCTTTAACATAACAAAAATGGCCTATTTAATGTCCTCCGCACTTCATGTCTTCATTCGTTTCCAAAGGACTTTGGACATTATTACCCAAGAAATAGAAAGCTCGGGTAACCGGAGGGTTCAGTGAATTCAAAGGATATCAAACAATCAGGTACTAACTACATGAATAAACTACACCTAATGTATGTCCAGTGTCATAATGTACATTGCACCCCCCCCCCCCTCCCCCTCCCCCTTGATCCAAAACAAAATGGCATTGGACAACATTCCTCCATTTTTTAGTAAGAAATTGGGGGAAAATAGGGGTAAAATTGGAAAAAATCTAGAAAAAAAATCAAGAACTAAAATAAATCACAAAACCAATTAAATCTTAAATCAGATAATTATCAGGCCTGACTGTATAAGACCACAACACCGAGCTATGACCAAGGCCGTAACTAGTGCTGTAACATCACGGATATCTCCAATTCCGTTTAACCGCCTGTCAAAACCGGACGGTTTTCGGTTAAACGATTTATTAAAAAAAAAAATTAAAAAAAAAAAAAAAAAAAAAAATTGTTTTTTTTTTTTTTTTTTTTTTTGCCGTGTGAAAAAGCAGAAAGGTGATTTAACTGAAGGCGCCGATTTGTGCTTGTGAACTAGTCACAAATAATAGTAACAATGTCGTTTTAGAATAATGTGTAAGATCATTAAAGTAAATTAAAAACAGTAGAGGACCTAGGATAGAACCTTGTGGTACACCATGTGTTAAACTTGGATGAATATATATTGAGATCTATTACAAAGATTACTTTCAAACCAAGATGACAGACAAATTGGAGTGTTGTTCTAGTTTCCAAGTGGTAAGTCATCACACCGATTACTGAGCTGGGAGACATTGCCAGGCATAGTGCCAGGTGGAGGGGCATAAATCGAAACTTGAAAAAAAAAAAAAAAAAAATATTAAAAAAAAAAAAAAAAAAAAATTATAAAAAAAAAAAAAAAAAAAAAATTATAAAAAAAAAAAAAAAAACGGGAAAACGAAACCGTCCAATTGAAAACGGAATCCGCCATGGGCGGTCGGATACCGGACGGTTAAACGTTTGACTACAGCACTAGCCGTAACCATGTAATTATAATCCCAATATATCCGGCGTACATTTTACAACCTTGGATCGTTTGGTTGCACACTCAGACAATTGTGCATCTTATTGATCGATCGAGGCAAAGCGAGCTAACCAACATTTTGGTCACAAATGAGATGCATTAACAAATTTGGTCGATGAATCTTCTGATACTATTGACATTATAATGAGGAATGTATTTTAACATTTAGTCTATCTATTTCCTTCATTATAGGAATTGCAAAGATTTTCCCCATGAGCGAGGCCTGCGGTTGCACCATGTAGTCTTTTGACAGCTAGGGTTAGAATACCTGGGACCCGTTTCACAAAGCCTTTTTGCAATGACGAATGACAAAAATCAGTGACATATCTGCTGATGACCAATCAGAAGCAAGGATTGCAGTAGCTTATAACAAAAACTGTCATTTGTCACTAATTAGGCCTAAAAAAAAGATGTTGTATTGCCCTTTAGGTGCCAAAACATGTGTCGGTTGGTCGGTCATAATTTTTTTTTTTCCTTCTTTTTTCTCCCTCAGTTTTTAATGCTTTAATATTTGTTCTCTCTAAAAACAGTAAAGAAAAACAAATTATTCAGATTTCAAGATTTTTGGGTCGGTCTCAAAGGGCAATACAACATCATTTTGTTTTAAAGGCCTTATGACAACGACCATTTTTATGCATCCTACCTTCTGGTTCTGTGTCCTGCGGGGTCATCGTCGCAAACATATCCTTTGGCCGGACGATCTGCTCCTCGATGACCACGTCCATGGGGCCCTGCATCTGGCGGACGACGATGACCACCATCATGACGCTCCCGAGGATGACCAGGAGCTGGGTGCTGATGCACGCCCGTATGTCCCTCAGGACAGCCTTTCGTACCCCCACCAACATGGCTCGAAGCAGCGCCCTCAGAAAACGCATGGGACCAGACGGCCTGCCTCAAAACCCACTAGGCCTAGAGGTTAACAAAAGAAAATTAAAGACAAAAACATTAATAACACAACTGTTGTGCAATACATGGCCCACACGCCGAGAAGCCGGCACAGAATGGCATTGCAAATACCTGGCAACAGGGCTCCAAGCAGCATCCTTGAAGCAATCATTAATTCAACCATAATGGGCCATTTTCGTAGTGAAATCAAATTCAATGAACAAATCATTGTTGAGTGCCTCGTTACAAAGTATTTTATTATGTCACGCAAAATTGTATCTTAATAGTCATCATCCGAATTGCATTATGCATACATTACGTGTTGATACATGTAGGTAGAATAAGCAACAATGTTTGTCCTTCCAAGCAACAATATGCAATTTGCATTCAGTAAAATACAAGAAGGAATGCCAAATCACTTACCTAGAGGCCATGTACTTTTTATCACTCAACTTTTTGGCTTTAATTTTAACAAGGAATGCCAAATCACTTTACAGAGAGGCTATTTTCTACCCCTGGGTCGATAAAGACAACTTAAGTGTACATCATTTGAATTGAGTTACAGTTTCTAAATCTAGGTATGAACATACCACACCGAGGATTGACGTACACCTGTTTGTGTAAAACACCTCGTGATAGAATGTCGAGATGGGAGAGAGTGGGAAATATGTATACGTGCAGCTGACAAGTTTCACACATCAGTGCAAACAACCGTTTATGAGGAACCAAAGTTCAGTGTTAGTTTACAACTCCAATAGAGTACCGAAGCTGTGACGTCATATAAATCTATTTTGAGAATTTCTCAATTTTTTCTTCATATTCCGAAAGAACATAAAAATTAATGTCCAAATGTCGAAAACCGATTGAATATGTTAAGTATTGGCTGAGATATGACTGTCTTAATAAATATACTCCCCATAGGAACCCAGTGTTATATGCTCTGGCTCCTAATGGTTAGGAGCCAGAGCATATAACACTGAGTTCCAATAGGACATATACTCATTCACATGGTCATATCTCAGCCAATACTTAACATATTCAATTGGTTTTCGACATTTGGACATTATTTTTGATGTTCTTTCGGAATATGAAGAAAAAATTGAGAAATTCTAAAAATAGATTTTTGATGACGTCACACTTCACCACTCTATGAACAAATACCCTGGAGTAAATAAAGCTTCCCTTCTTCTACACAGGGAAGGGAATCTGACTGGTTAAGTCAGAGATCAATTAAAAAATCAACTTTTGCTCGTATTGGGGGAAGGGGCAGGGTCACACCCCCCCCCCCCCCCCCCCTCTTGAAAGGGAGGGGGATAGGGAGCCAGGCAGAGACAAGGAAAGGAAGACAGGGAAGGTAACATAAAAAGGAGATGTCATGGCCACTTTCTACACCCCAACCCATCCCTCCTCCCAGAAGGGGAGGGAGGGGGGGGGGGGATATATGGAGACAGACAGAGAGAAAGAAAGGGAAGGGGGCATGAAAAGGAGATGGTATGACACCCCCCCCCCCACCCAATAGAAGGGGAAGAAAGATAGGGAGCCAGACACAAAGAAAGGGAGAGAGGGAAGGGGGCATGAAAAGGAGATGGTATGACACCCCCCCCCCCCCCCCACCCAATAGAAGGGGAAGAAAGATAGGGAGCCAGACACAAAGAAATGGAGAGAGGGAAGGGGGCATGAAAAGGAGATGACATGACCCCTTCCATACCCCCCCCCCCCCCCTCCCTTCTCTGTGGCTCTTCTTGCATTTTATCAATGTACTGTACATGTACATGTAAAAAGCCTGGAGTACCCCCCCACCCCCCCTTGACATCAGCACACCTTAAATGGCTACATTAGGTCCATATATGGTCATTTTCACAGTAAAGGGTGTAACTTTTCTCAAACAGGGTCAAAATTTCAAAATATGTTTTCATAATCATTTCTACTAAAATTATTACAATCAATGTCTAAATTATGGATTTTTTTTGGTTCTGGAGCTTAAACTACATCAGAAACCTGGAAAAATAATGAACAACTGTGACAAATATGATAAATTTGAACAAAAACAACATTTTAATTCTATCAACTTAAATGACAACATTTGTTCTCCAAACATAATTCAATTGCAATTTTTCATTTGCTATTCTAATGTACTTGAAGGCTTATAAAGCTTTTTTGGTCAAAGTTATTTGGTCTTTAAAAAAATTCAATGCGTTTGTCAAATTCAAGACAAAATATGAATTTGACATTTTATTTTTCAAATTTACCTATCTTCCAAGAGGGGGAGCAAAATAAAAATTATTCTACAAATACCATTCAGTGAGGGCTAATTACAATGCAAATTTCAAAGAAATCGCATTTCAAATGAGGAAGTTGAAAATTTCTTATGTGTGTGTTTCGGAGGCTTCAGGTTAACAATAATGCCTGTTTCGGAGGCTTCAATCATGTTAACATAAAATGTTGTCCATTACTTAGGTAACATATTAAGAAAAATTCAACTTAAACTGTTAATGATATGTTAAATTACTAATATAACACCTAAAACATTTGTTAACAGAGTAAAAATACTTGTTAATATACAGTACGGTACATGTATGTTACAAATTATCTTTACTTAATACAATGAGCTTTTTGTTCAGTACGCAAACATTGCAAAGTCACTTAATAGAATCCATGAGGATTTCAAATCTGTGCTGATCTGTGCTGAAATATATTGTCCAGTATGTAATTTCAAGGGAAACCACTTTTCTCATATCAAAGTTGAAACATTCAGGGAACATATACATGTATAGGATCAGTTCAAAGTAGTGTTTCGGAGACTTCAAACATGTTAACACACTATATTGTCAACTACAAAGGCAATATATACAAGGCGAAATTTAAACTTACTTTTGAAGTTTTAATAAAATGTTGAACTGAAAGTAAAGTAAATAATTGTTCACATAGAAACCATTTATGTTAATTCATAGCAATGTATCATTACCCTTCACTTGCGTCTTTGTCATCATTTATTCTTGGCTTCCACGAACTTGTTTGGTATGTGTTATAACATTTACACAGACATTCATATATTTGAAACCAATAGCATGGTAAGTATTTACAGGTTTTTATCCTAGAACACAATTGTGTTCGACTTCTTATTTCAAAGAAATTTATCTGCCAACATGTCTAGTTCTCGTTCTTAAAAATTATAAAGGTAAGCTATGTAGGATGGGGTCCTGGTTGATAGAGTCATCTTCTGTATTACATCTTTTTAGGCTGATGGGCTTCACAGTCCTCTGTAGATTCATACAGACCATTGCTGTTCCGCGCATGAATTTGACTTTGACATTGTCATCAATCACAGCTTTTACCTAGTAGCAAAATAAGAATATAGCAAATTCAAACTTTCATTAAAACACAGAAAAACAGCTTTCAGAATCCATTTCACTTCTTTGAAATATCTCACAGTCCCTTATTTTATTTTATTCACCCTGTTAACTTTGTTCAGTACCACAACACCTGCTCATACACATTTTAGAAAAATCTTTTTGTCTAAGTATTTCTCAAATAAAGAAAGTTGATCCTGTTAAATATTTTTTTAATAATCAGAGATCTAACATGGGTAATACTTACAAGAGCCATGAAAACCACCCCATTTGTAGTCCTGCTGCTAGATGAAGGTGCAACAAAATATATGGCCACATAATCGCTCACATTGATCCTGTAATTGGAGAAGAAAATAGGAAATTAGCAGTTTGTACTGGACAGAACAATGTTAATACATATATCTGAGCTTGGACACTAAAAACAATCATTTTTTTATATTTTAGAAGTACATCTTGAATGTATATTTGCATGTGCATTACATAATATTTTATTATTTATCCATGTGTTGTTTAAGAATTAGTTTAGTAGTCTATATGGGCACCATCACTAAGGATGCTTAATGTGTACGTTACACAAATCTTTAAGTAATAATTAATGACAGACTTGTTTTAATCTGTTCAAAATTGTAATATGTATCCATATGTAGCCATAGACATGTACATGTATATGTACACACATGTTTATCAGGAGTCTAATTTAAACATTTGGTACTGAGGCAAACCTTATTTATAATTTGTTATAAATATATTTCATAGATTTTTAAATATTTTACAATAATTTTCTCGGACCTGCTAAGCTCCACCCTAAATAAATGCTCCAGATTTCATTCATCTATCTGTGAATCATTTATAGTGAGCTAACAAGAGAAATTGTTATGTAACTTTCTCCAGCTCAGCATATGCTCACAAATACCTCCATGTTAATTACCTTTCTTTTCCTGGTGATGCTACACCATTTCTGACATAGCAACTCATATGTTGGTATTGTATGATCTATTGTAAACAGGTGATCAGCTCTGGTTAAGCTATTATACATACATGTACCACTGTCTCTTGTTAGCTCACTAATGATTTACAGATGATGTCACAAGATGAATGAGATTTGGAGCATTTTTCTAGGCTGCACATCAACAGGAATCAAACTATATTTGGATGTCACCCGATCTTTAAAACCACAAACATTGATTATGATAAAGGTACATGTACAATGTACAATATAGATAGTAACTAGGCCTCACTATATTTTTAGTGACAAATCTAAACTTTAAAAACTTTCACACATCAGTTCCATTACAATAACCCATTAAAAAAAAGTACAAGTTAAGTAATTTAAGGACAAAATATACAGTTCTTACCTCTATATTCTTGTGGATAACAGTAAGGAAATGAGAGAACTGTCTGCAGTGTTCATGCCTGTCTGGAAGAGTTGCTATCTAGTATCAGATGTTGCTAGCACATGTTGCTGTAACCTTGTCAATATCTTCATGATCTTCATGGTCTATTGTCGTGGACAAGGTCCGAAGTTCGAGTCCTGCTGTGGCACTAATGTCCTTTGGCAAGACATTAATCTACATTTGCCACACTCGACCCAGGTGAGGTAAATTGGGTATCTGGCAGGAATTAATTCCTTGAAATGCTTAAGCGCCGTAATGGAAGCCATGCTAAAGCCGGGGT